GGCAGGGCCTTGTCACTACCATCATCCTGCTCCTGACTGCCAAGGACACCTCCTCCCCTCTGCGAGGATCACAGCAGCTGCAGAGCCCAGGGTCACCCATATGAACCTGGCTCTCCACCTGCCCGGCCACCACCCAGGGACAGAGACTTTCCCCCGCCCTGCTCCCTGGTCCTGGGCCTGAGGCTGGTCATAGACCCAGGCAAACATGCATGGCCCTCTGCAGCCACTGCCTGGCTGGGCTGGGACACAGTTGCCACCTTGGAAGCCTTGTTTCCAGGCCCCCACTTTGCCTCTGCCTCTGTCCCGCTGCAGTTGGATGAGGAGGGCAGAAGCAGCACGGAGGCCCGCGCCACGGCCTCCCTGGTAAGGCTGCCTTCTCCTGGCTGCCTCAGGCTCAGGCCCTTTCCTGTCTGAGTCGCCCAGGGCAGAGCACGGTTGCTTTTCCTGCTCTTGGTTTCCCGTCACCAATGAAGGTGCCCTGTGCGGCCTCTCCTTTGCTAACACTCCTCCCAGCCCCCACAGAGATGCACTGGGTCCTTGGGTCAGAAGGGCAGGGCAGAGTGGGCCACGGGCCATGGCAGCAGTGGGATGGGGAAGGCCCCTGCTCCTCAGATGCCTTGGCCCACGTGACAGCATGGCCCCTGGGTGCTGGACCTCAGGTGAGCCTCTTTCTAGATTGTTCCAAGAGGGAGTTTTCATGCTGAGCTCGGAGCTGGGCAATGAATCCAGGCACCCCCATGTTTTCCCTGATGAGCTCCGTACAGTCAGAGAAACCTCAGGAAGTCCCCAGGTCAGTCCCTTGCCCAGGCCTGAGTGCGGCCCAGGGTCCCTTAGCAGGCTGGCGCTCTGTGGGTCCTTGGCTGTCACACTGAAGGCTCCTTGGCCCCAGCAGGCTCTTGCTGGCCTGTTCCTGGCCTCAGTCCTGCTCCCTTACTGGGCAGGAGATTGGATTGGGGCCACTGTTCCTCAGGGACCCCTTAGAGCTTCCTCACGGGTGACAGGCACCTAGACCTTTAAGACCCCCTGGGTTTCCATACTGCCCCCTCTGCTCCCCACACCCAAGCTCACCTTCTCCAGTCAGTTCCCCGTGGGGCTGTGCAGGTTAAGTTCAGGCCCCATCCTAGGCATCCTCCAGGTACTGACTCACGGAGCCCCACAGCAGCGTCATGCAGTAGGGGCTATAATCACCCCCTTTACGGATGGGCAAACTGATGCACAGTGAGGTCCCCTTGGGGAGTGAGCCCTGTGTTTTTTCTGTGCACGTGTGTGTATACACATGTGTGTATGCATCTGTGTATGCATGTGTGCCTGCATGTGTGTGTATGCATATGTGTGTGTGTGCATGTGTATGCATCTGTGTGTGTGCATGTGTGCATGCACGTGTGTGTATGCATTTGTGTGTGTGTGCATGTGTATGCATCTCTGTGTGTGCATGTGTGTGTTTGCATCTGTGTGTGTGTATGTGTGCATGTGTGCATGCATATGTGTGTATGCATCTGTGTGTGTGTGCATGTGTATGCATCTGTTTGTGTGTATGCACGGGGGGCAGGGGGTTGACCTGCTGTGTGCCAGACTTGCTGCCACTTGGGGTTTTCATAGCATCGCCTCATACAAACCCTGCAATCGCCCTGAGAGGTTGGTTGGTCCTGTTATTATTCCCATGTTACAGATGAGAAAACTGAGGCCCAGAGACAAGAAGGGCTCCAGCAGGGTCACTCAGCAGGTGTCGGAGTGGAGAGGACTCACTCTCTGCTCTGGGATTCCACTGGCCTGCATGGGGCCCTGTTCCCAGGTGTCCCAGTGACCCCAAACACTCCATGAGCCTTGATCCTGCAGTCCCTGTCCACGTCACTGTCTCCTAGCCCTGCCCTGTGGAGGGTCCCTCTCTTTAGGAACAAAGCGGGTCCTCCTTTTTTTTTTTTTTTTTTTGAGACCGTGTTTCGTTCTTTGTTGTCCAGGCCGGAGTGCAGTGGCGCGATCTCGGCTCATTATAGCCCCTGCCTCCCGTGTTCAAGCGATTCTCCTGTCTCAGCCTCCCAAGTAGCTGGGACTATAGGCACTTGCCTCCATGCCTGGCTAATTTTTGCATTTTTAGTAGAAATGGGGTTTCACCATGTTGGTCAGGCTGGTCTCAAACTCCTGACCTCAGGTGATCCGCCCACCTTGGCCTCCCAAAGGCGGGTCCCATTTTTAAGAATTCCACAGAAGGCTGGGTGCAGTGGCTCACACTTGTAATCCCAGCGCTTTGGGGGGCCGAGGCGGGTGAATCCCCTGAGGTTAGGAGTTAAAAACCAGCCTGGCCGACATAGTGAAATCTATCTCTACTAAAAATACAAAAATTAGCTGGGTATGGTGGAGCACACCTTAGTCCCAGTTACTCAGGAGGCTGAGGCAGGAGAATTGGTTGAACCTGGGAGGCAGATGTTGCAGTGAGCTGAGATCATGCCACTGCACTCCGGCCTGGCCGATAGAGCAAACTCCATCTCAAATAATAATAAATAATAATAATAACAATAATAATAATAATTCCATGGAAGATAGTTGGATTTGAGGAAGCTAGAAGAATTCAGGATCTAGTCCTCTCTACGGGTAGATCAAAGAACTCATAAATAAAGCACAGGGCTGCAATCTAGTAACAGGTGTAAAGCTTTTCTTCATACACATAACTTTTCCTCTCTACGTTGACGGAACAGGAATCTCAGGCTGGGCGCGGAGGCTCATGCTTGTAATCCCAGCACTTTGGGAGGCCACGGTGAGTGAATCACTTGAGTCCAGAAGTTGGAGATCAGACTGGGCAACACATCGAAACCCCATCTCTACAAAAAAAAAAAACAAATCGGTAGGTCGTGGTAGCATGTGCCTATGGTCCCAGCTACTAGAGAGGCCGAAATGGGAGGATCACTGGAGCCCTGGAGGTCAGGGCTTCAGTGAGCCATGATTGTAGCACTGCACTCCAGTCTGGGTGACAGAGCAAGACAGCGTCTAAAAAAAAAAAAAAAAAAAAAGGAATCTCAGATTATAAAACCCCTTGAGGCTAGGAAGCCAAACAAAGACAGACTTCAGATTTTTTTTTCTGCAGTCTGAAGGTTCCTGGGCCTGCCAGGAAGTGACGATTTTTACTTGTTCGCTGTGAGGCTGGGAACCCCGGAAGCTAGGCATTCTATGCACATTCACAAATATATAGCAATCAAAGCTTTGGTAATATAGTCAATGTCTCCAATTGTATCCTATGTAAAAAGAGAGCAAATTCTTAAACTTCAAATAACCATATTGCCATAAGAATACTCATGAATAGTGTCTGAATTTTGGAGGGATCCACTCTTGCCTGGATGACACAGCAAGACCCTGTCTCAGAAAAAAAAAAAAAAATTAAAGCTTCAGTTTAGATGGCTGTTAAACACAGAAGTAAAAATTAATGCTTCTTGTGGATTTACCAAAAGCAGATTTAGGCCGGGCATGGTGGCTCACACCTGTAATCCCAGCACTGTGGGAGACTGAGGCAGGTAGATCACCTGAGGTCAGGAGTTCGAGACCAGCCTGGCCAACATGGTGAAACCGCAACTCCACCAAAAACACAAAAATTAGCTATGTGTGGTGGCACGTGCCTGTAATCCCAGCTACCCGAGGCTGAGGCAGGAGAATCACTGGAACTGGGAGGTGGAGGTTGCAGTGAGCTGAGATCGCGCCACTGCACTCCAGCCTAGGCGACAGAGCGAGACTCTATCTCAAAAATAAATAAGTCAAAATAAAAGCAGATTTATATTTCAAGGAAATCTTGTTGTACTAACATAGGGGACCAGATTTTTAGTTTTTAAATCAGTGTAGGTTTGTTTTGTTTGTTTTTTACTTCTCCTAGAGCTTTCAGATGAGAATATCAGTGTAGTTTTAATACGAAAGTTCAATCTTTAGAAAGACTCGTGAATAATTTCCTTCTAATTTTAGCCAACCTGATCACATACAAAAATTTCTTTCACAAATTCATCCTTCCCCAAAAGATGGGAAGGATGAATTATATGTGTCTCTGCTCAATGTTTCAAGGTCATAAAACTATAAACCCAACCTAAAAACAGAGTGATCTTTGTTCCTGTAGTTCTTTGATTGATAAAACTAATTTAGTATTGCTGGTTTATTGAAAACAGCTCTGTTTTATACATATACATACATATATACATTGTAATGAGCCAAATACCTTTTAGTTCACGTGATTGAACTATATCTTTGATAAACAAGCTGGTTTTAAATTGGTTGATAAAATAGAAATACCTCAAGCTTTTCTTTCTCTCTTTCTTTTTTTTTGGAAACAGAGTCTCTCTTTGTTGCCCAGGCTGGAGTGCAGTGGCACAATCTGCAAACACCTTTCACGATTTAGCACTTCTATGACATGCTTAGGCCTCTGCTTTGACCTAAAGTTCCCCTTTCTTAGGTAACAAGTTATTTTACTTTAGGACACAAAAAGTTACCATACAAGATCCTTTCTCATTCCAAATTATTCTTTTTTCTTTTAACAGTACTTATCAAAAATATATCTTCATACCTTTCTTCATATCTCTCTCCTACTTACGGGTTCCTTTCTATCCTGTTTTTCTTTCTTTCATAAATCCATATTTTGGATATATGAAAACACATTTTCGCCAGGTGCAGTGGCTCACACCTGCAATCTCAACACTTTGGGAGGTGGCTGCTTGAGCCTAGAAATTCGAGACCAGTCTGGGCAGCGTGGCAGGATCCTATTTCTATTTTTTTTTTTAATTTAAAAAAAGTTAAAACAATTTTTAAGTATATAAAAAACTCAAATAAAGCAAAAATATGTTTTTACACATTTTAAATAGTTCTTCTCATCAAACATACATATTATTTTTTGGTACACTTTGTCTACAGAATTGTATAGATTAATTAGAATTTTTAATTCTTAGCAACCTTAATTTCTAGTGAAAACCTAGGAAGCAAAAAACATTTAAATGACTGTCACATATTAGTATTTTACAGATGGGAACCATTTATAATTTTAGAAACATGTTTCCCCATCGCATAATTTTTATATGTATTAACCCCTATAAATTTGGTAGTTCCATAAAATTTAAGAAACCAAAAACAAACTTATATTTATGTTCAGCAATTTATGTATTTGTGTTTTATCTTACTTGGAAATGACCAATATATTTAATGAGTATCTGTCAGTTAAGGTAGCATAACATGACTTTAAGATTTCGAAGTCTGGCCAGGCACAGTGGCTCACACCTGTAATCCCAGCACTTTGGGAGGCTGAGGCGGAGGACTGCTTGAGACCAGGAGTTCGACAGCAGCCTGGCCAACATGGTGAAACCCCGTCTCTACCAATAATACAAAAAGTAGCTGAGTGTGATGGCGCACACCTGTAATCCCAGCTACTCAAGAGGCTGAGGCATGAGAATCACTTGAACCTGGGAGGCGGAGGTTGCAGTGAGCCGGGATCACACCACTGCACTCCAGCCTGGGCGACAGAGGAGACTCTGTCTCAAAAAAAAAAAAAAAAAAAAAAAATTTCAAATTCTATGAAAAGCTCATTTATAGACATTCATCCTATTTACATTTACGTAATTTATATTTTTAACAATTATACCTCCATTAATTATGAATACTGAGATATTACACAAAGCTAGTACTCATTTCCAGGTATTTTCTTGTTCACTATTTTCATAGCCTGTGACTCTCAGGCGTTCACTTAAGAAGCTTAAAGTTAAATACATGTATATTTTGCCAGTAACTCCTAAGACAGAGCTGTTTACATTAAACCAGCAATATTAAATTAGTTTTATTTATCAAAGAACTACACAAAGATCACTCTGTTTTTAGGTTGGGTTTAAAGTTTTATGACTTTAAGCCAGGCAAGGTGGCTCATGCCTGTAATCTGAGCACTTTGGGAGGCCAAGGTGGGCAGATCACCTGAGGTCAGGAGTTCGAGACCAGCCTGGCTAATATAGTGAAACCCCGTCTCTAATAAAAATGCAAAAATTAGCAGGGTGTGGTGGCATATGTCTGTTATCCCAGCTACTCAGGAGGCTGAGGCAGGAGAATCACTCGAACCCTGGAGGCGGAGGTTGCAGTGAGCTGAGATTACACCACTGCACTCCAGCCTGGATGACAGAGTGAGACTCTGTCTCATAAAAAATAAAAAAATAAATAAAGTTTTATGACCTTGAAGCATCTAGCAGAGACACATATAATCTTATCTGACTCACAAACCCAGGGGAAAACGTACGCTGCAAATACTAAAGATGAACGTGCATGGTGGCTCACGCCTATAATCCCAGCACTCTGGGTGACCGAGGTGGGTGGATCACTTGAGGCCAGGCATTTGATTTTTAATTTTAATTTTAATTTTAATGTTTTTGTCTTGAGGCCAGGAGTTTGAGACCAGCCTGGCCAATATGGCAAAACCCATTCTTTACTAAAAATACAAAAAAAAAAAAAAAAAAAAAAATTAGCCAGGGGTGGTGATGAGCACCTGTAGTACCATCTACTTAGGAGGTTGAGGCATGAGAACCACTTGAACCTGGGAGGTGGAGGTTGCAGTGAGCTGAGATTGTACCTGGGTGACAGAGACTCCGAGAAAAAAAGAAAGAAGGAAGGAAGGAAGGAAGGAAGGAAGGAAGGAAGGAAGGAAGGAAAGAAGGAAAGGAGGGAGGGAGGGAGGGAGAGCGGGAAGGACGGAAAAAAGAAAAGAAAATGCTAAAGATATTTCTATTTTTATTTTATCAACAAATTTAAAACAAGCTTATTTATCAAAGATGTGGTTAAATTACATGAACTAAAAGGTATTTGGGTTCATTACTATGTTATATATATAGGTATATGTAATATGTATACATGTATTTATATATGTATGTATCCACACAGGTGTGTGTGTGTGTGTATGTGTATGTGTGTGTGTATATATATATGTACATTTTTTTTTTTTTTGAGACAGGATCTCACTCTGTCACCCAGGCTGGAGTGCAGTGGTACAATCATAGCCCATGGAACCTTCTACTTCGCAAGTTAAAGTGATTCTCCTGCCTCAGCCTCCCCAGTAGCTGGGACTACAGGCACACACCACCACGCCTGGCTAATTTTTGTATTTTTTTGTACAGATGGCGTTTTGCCATGTTGCTTTGCCATGTTGCCTAGGCTTATCTGGAACTCCAGCTACTGGGCTCAAGCAATCCACCCACCTCAGCCTCCCAAAGTGGTGGGACTAAAGACGTTTGACACCGTACCCAGCTTATATACATATTTTTTAGAGATGGGGTCTTGCTATGTTGCTCAAACTGTCCTTGAACTCCTGGGCTCAAGTAATCCTCCTGCCTTAGCCCCCTGAGTAGCTGGGAAAACAGGCATGCTCCACCATGCCCTGCTCACTATATATTTGAACAAGTTTAATTAATCTAAGTTAACCTGAATAGAATGCCTTAAGGAATTTCTGGACTATTGTGTCAGATTTCAAATTGGAGACACAACGCACGACATGAAAAAACATACTCTTATTTGCTTGACAGCTCCATGCAGGTTGGGAAGCATTTTAGGAGGTTTTTTCAGTTTTTTTCTGGCCCTGTGTAGCAGACAAAGCAATTTTTATCCTGAGCGGAGATCCTTTTTGTTATTGCACTGAGTTCACAATTTTGACCTCTTTGATCTGAGAGCCTAATTTTTATAAACATTTCTCTCGTTCTGTTCTTTCTAATAGCAGCCCTTCCATGGACTGGTCCATCACCCAAAGCGACTGTTAGACAGGCAAACCTAAATTTACATTTCCAAAAGGTGTCTAGGTTGTGGGTTGCCATGGAGCTGTTGTAATTTGTAGAGCCATTAATTTGAAAACCTTTTAAGACCTCTTCCTTATTGGTTTTTATCTTGGCTGGAAAGTGATATTGTGGGTTTATCTTAATACCAGCTGAAATGTCAGCAGATTTCAAGTAGGCAGAAAAAAGAGAGAGCATTTAACTCTGTAGTTGGCAGTTTTAAAATTCAGTATAAGGAAAAAGCAAACTTGGGGAGTTCAAATGATTCCCATCATGCCATTGATTTTAAAATGTGCATGAGGAAAAGCCATGTAGCTGGCTGTTAATGTTTGAGAATGTCATTCCCTTTCTTATGAATCTCAAAAGCAAAGAAAATCCTATAAATCCTGGAGTTTGCACAAGTATTTCGATGGTGGTGATGCCCTAGTTTCTTTTAACTGGCTATCTCATACCCACCTTTTGAAATTGTTTTGTTGTTGTTGAGACAGGGTCATTCTGTCAACCAGGCTGGAGTGCAGTGGTGCGATCACAGCTCAACGTGGCCTCTACCTCCCAGATTCAAGCAATTCTTATGCCTCAGCCTCCTGAGCTCAAGCAATCCCCACCACCTCGGCCTCCCTCATAGCTGGGCCTACAGGCATGGACCAACACGCCTGGCTAATCTTTGCATTTTTTGTAGAGACAGAGTTTTGAAATGTTGCCCAGGCTGGTCTTGAACTCCTGAGCTCAAGCCATCCTCCCACCTTGGCCTCCCAAAGTGCTGGGATTATAGGCGGGAGCCATTGTGCCAGGCCTGCACTCAACATTTATTTATTCATTTGTTTTTAAATGTTTCCTACAGTACCAAACCATTTATGTTTATTTTTGCTATCGGATGATCAGAAGATGTTCACAAGCACAAAAAAAAAAAAAAAAAAAAAAAAAAGCCAAATCATTTACTGACGTGGGAAACCAAACCAAACTCAGAGTGCTCACAAAATTTCAACCAAGGTGTTGCACATCAAACAAAATATTCAGCCAGGCATCCAAAACCAAAAGTGAGTTCACCAGAAAAGACTTGCCGTCTAGACAGAAAATAAGTTCTGTAGAAACCAGAGCCCTCAAACCAGAAGGGCACTTCTGTTTATACCAGAAAGTGCTTGCGAAAAGCAAAGAAGCAAATGAAAAAACAAAACTGGCTGGGCACAGTGGCTCACCCATGTAATCCCACCACTTTGGGAGGCTGAGGTGGGCAGATCACTTGAGGTCAAGAGTTCAAGATCAGCCTGGCCAACATGGTGCAATCCAGTCTCTATCAGAAATACAAAAATTAGCCAGATGTGGTGGTGCGCGCTTGTAGCCTCAGCTACTAGGGAGACTGAGGTACAAGAATCGCTTGAACCTGGGAGGAGGAGGTTTCGGTGAGCTGTGATCCTGCCAAGCACTCCAGCCTGGGCAGCAGAGCAGGACTCTTTTGGGTGACAGAGCAAGACTGTCTCAAACACACACACACACACGCCCCAACAAAACTCCAACCTTTATACTCCCAAGAAGGATGCAAGGTCCTTTGTTTAAGGGAGCCTTATAATTAAATCACATCCAGGATAAAGTAAAAAGGAACTGACCAAAGGGAGGGAGTCTGAGTATTCAAGGAGATTCACCAGAACAGAAAATCAACTCCTGGAAAGGCAGTCTGCAGAGGGCTCAGTCAACGCTGCGTTAGATTCCAGGAAACTCTGATTTGTCCTAGATGAGTTCACTTCAGAGTTCACTTCAGTCCCACTTCTGGCTCCACTATGTGACACTGCATAACAGATACAGGCAGACTCTAAAATAAAATGAATTTTCTTTGGAAATAGGTATTGCAATGGGAATAAGCAGGCCATAGGAAACTATGTGTGAATTTAGAGAGGTGAAGGAAGATAAAGGTTTTTAGAGGAAAAAGGAGGAGGATCACAGGATTGTTTTGAGATATTTATCCTTGGCTACAAGGATCAAGGATATGAGTGGCACCAGTTTGAGGCTGGACAGGCAATTGCTGGGCAGATGTCCTTGCAGAAGTATTCTTTGTTGAAAGTTTACGAAAGTCATCATGCAAGCTGGTTGTTTGCAGTCTTCTGTGATAGTTCTTGTTGTCAGGTTTTGTGCATGGTAAATCCCTTTCTTGTTCCTGACTTTACTTCTCAGAGTTTTTAACAAAAGGAACTCCATTTTGATTCTGACAAGGTTCATAGGCTGGGTGACTGGGATCTGTCCTTAGTCAGGGAGGAGGCAGTGAGTCAGATTCTGAAGCCCTCACGGTCTGTGCCTGGCATCCCCTCGGGCCTTCTCTCTCCAAGGCAGCTCTGGCTACTCTACCCCCTCCCAACACCCGCCCCCAACCCTCACATCAGGTATCCAGTTGTGTCACTCAGGGCTTCACTGGGTGTCGCTGGGCACTGCTGTGGTCTGTCATGCTCTTGCATATGAGTCATGGAGTCACCTGGGCAATCAGGGTGTATTAGTCTGTTCTCACCCTCCTATGAAGAAATACCTGAGACTGGGTAAATTATAAAGAAAAGAGGTTTAATTGACTCACATTTCTTATAGTTGGGGAGGCCTCAGGAAACTGACAGTCATGGTGGAAAGCACCTTCTCACAGGGCGGCAGGAGCGAGAATGAGAGCAAGCAGGGGAAATGTCAGATGCTTATAAAACCATCAGATCTCGCGAGACTCACTCATTATCACAAGAACAGCATGTGGGGAACCAGCCCCATGATTCAATTTCCTCTACCTGGTCTCACCCTTGACATGTGGGGATCGTGGGGATTACAATTCAAGGTGAGATTTGGGTGGAAACACAGAGCCAAATCATAACACAGGGGTAGGGGAAGCCCCCCACGGTGAGGGAACTGGAGGTGGACCACTGGCATCACCCACTCACCCACAGCCTCAGCTTCTCTTTTGGGGGAACTGCAGGGGAGCCAAGGATCTGGGCCTCGGACCCCTCTTTATTGGCAGTCTGTGCAGGGTGACCAGGACTGTGTGGTCAGAGGCAAAACCCAAGTCACCTCCTATAGGCAGTGATTGCTGTGCTCTGGGACCACCCCCCATTGGGACCATGCGGGCCGCACTCACAGCCCCAGGCCTGCTTCTGGCAGGGCTCTGCGTTGCTCTCCGTGGATCAGGGGCTGGGGGAAGGGGGCAAGACAACCAGAAGCCCAGACACCCCGGGGAGAGCTGATCCGGGACAGGGGTTCCCAGAAGGTAAAGGAAGCTCCCTGGTGAAGGTGCGCTCTGCGCAGGCGCTGTTCGGGCAGCCCAGGCACTCTATTAGCGCCCCCTCAATCCTCAGGAGGAGTCCTCTCTGGGCGGTGCTCCAGGGCTGTGGGCTGGGCCATGATGGCCCCCAGCTGCGTAGCTCCAGCTCCTTTCCAGCCGGTTGGTGGGAGGTTCCGAGTAGGGACACGGGATCGGAGGGGACTCCTCCCACTCGTCCCGGGACGCGGTTAGACCCGGAGTCCCCTACCGTAGCCCGCGCACGACCCTCGAAAGCCTGTCTCCGCGGCCCCCGACCCAGGTCCCAGCTGCCGCCGCGCTGCCAGGTGGCCCGAGGGTCGCAGGAGGAAGGAAGGGAGCGCGGAACTGGCGGAGGAGGGTGGAGCCGCCGGCGCGTCCCCTCCCTCCGGCAGGCAGGCGGGCGGCGGGCTGGGGCGGCGGCAAAGAAGGCATCGGGCTCCGGGAGACACCGGCCGCCTGCGTCGCTTCACTCCTGCTCAGGCAGCGGCTCCGGCCCGACCCGCTCCGCCTCTGCCAGGCTCCGGCGCGCACCTGCCGGGTAAGTGGCGCCTGAGTCCCTGCAGCCGCCGTCACCGTGGCGGCCACTTCCGTCACCTTCGTAGCCGCCGCGCGGAGCTTCCCGGCTTTGTCTGCGTCCTCGCTGCTGTAGCTGCGACTCCCAGGCTCGGCTCTCCGGCTCCATGGACTGCGTGCCGCGTCTGCAGGACTCTGGGCTCGCCCGGACAGCTCGCGCCCCGACGTGGGTGAAACTTCGCCCAAGTGTGGATTCTAGGGAGAACCTGTTGAAGCCAGGAGGGAAGCGGAAAGGGGATAGCGACCGACAGGCCTCGGGTTTTCCATCACGGCCGTGCCGGGAGTGGGTTGTGCATCCGCGACCCTGGGGCGTTGGCGCGTGCCCCTTGGGAAGGGGCGTGTGGGCCGTCGGGCCACCGAGCAGAAGGAGCCAGCGAGTGGGGTTGAAGTGGTCGATCCGGCGGACTTCCGCGAGGACAAAGTTTGGTTCTTTGGCCGTTTTGCGGAGCGTCTGTCTGGGTCCAGTTCGGAGAGCTGAAAGTGCCTCACAGACGTGCCCCTGACCGCACCTCCTCACTTCAGCTTCCGGTCTTTCCCCCACCCCACTTGACCTTGGCTAGGCCAGGTCGTGGACAAGAAAGGCGAAAGGAAGAGGTATGGCCTTTCAATGAAGACCCACTACATGCCAGACCCCGTGCTTGGAGCATCCCTCTTCCCATAAGAGGCCTCCCAATTCAGCGTCCAACACGTGTGTGCAGGGAGGAGGACAGGGGAGAAGACTCCACTGTGCACGCCGCGGTAGTGGCTCCGCCAGACTCTCCTCATCCCTGGTTTCCTCAGTGAAAGAGGCCGGCAGCTGGGTCCTCCGCACCCAGGCCTGCGTCTCTCCTCGCTGTGCCTGGGAGCCCCGTCGGGCTGCTGCGCCTCCTAAGCCTGACTGCTCTTCCCGCAGCTTTGGCCCTGGGGCCTTGCAGAGGCCCACGAGGAGGCCAGCGGCCGCGCGCATCCCATAGCCCAGGTGGCCCAGGGCTGCACCGCGGCGGCCTCGGTGCCATGGAGAGCGGTATTCGCTGACTGCGCACTAAGACGTGTCCCAGTAGGTCAAGTACCTGAGCTGCTGCGGCGCGGGGATCGTGCAAGAGGCCTTTCTGCCCCCCAGGCTTCTCTGGAGGAGCAGCGCCACCGGGGACGGGTCTGGGCTGCCGCGCTGGAACCCTGCACGAGATGAGCCTGCTGTCGGGGCTGGTGTTCGCTGCTGGTCTCTGCGCCATAATGGCGGCTATGCTGGCGCTCAAGTACCTGGACCCGGTCGTCGCAGGCGGCGGCACCTGTCCCGAGGGCTGCCCCGAGGGCAAGGCCTTAGCGCGCGCCGCCGGCTTCCTGGCAGCCAACCTGGACGCCAGTATGGACCCATGCCAGCACTTATACTCTTTCGCCTGCAGCGGCTGACTGAGGCACCGCGCCATTCGCAACGAAAAGCTCACCTATGGCACCATCACGCCATCCGCGAGCAGAAAGAGGAGCGCCTGCGGCGCCTGCTGGCACGGCCCAGGGGTGGGCCCCGCGGCGCGGCCCAGCGCAAGGTGAGCGCCTTTTTCCGTTCGTGCCTCGGCATGCGCGAGATCGAGCTACTGAGTCCTCGGCCCATGCTAGAGGTCGTGGAGGACTGCGGGGGCTGGGACCTGGGCGGCGCGGCGGAGCATCCGGGGGTCGTGACGCCCTGGGACCTCAACCTGCTGCTGTACAAGGGGCAGGGCGTGTACAGCGCCGCAGCGCTCTTCTCCCTCTGGGTCAGCCTAGGTTACAGGAACTCCTCGCACTACATCATCTGCGTGAGAAGGCCCCCCGAGCGCCCCTCCAGCGGCCGTGGACCCGGGGCCGTCCCTGTCCAGGGGTCCCTGCGCGTGGGAGGAGGGCGCGCGAGAGGAGAGAAAGGGAAAGCAGGGGAGGGGAGCGCTTGGCGGCAGAGCGCGGGAGGAGGGCGCAAGTAATTTCTCTGGGTTAACTGAGGTGTTTAGTGGAGCTGTGGGAGCCGCAATTTCCCAGCCCTCTGGAAGGCAGTGAGGGTGGGGAGGAAGGATGCGCCGGCGGGCTGGGCTGACATCTCCGTGAGGGTTGGGGCTAGCGCCAAAGCCAGGAACCCCAACTGTCAGTGCGGCACTGCGCAAGTGCCCCCGACAGGTAGGGAAAGTGCAGGCGTTCAGGGGTAGGCTGAGACAGTCGGGGATGGGGCTTTGGTCATCTCATCTGGTGGAAAGAGGGGCTGGGGTCTGCGTGCTTCTGGAGCTGTCCTCATGGATGTCTGGTCGCTCTCTGGGCATTGGGGTGAGAATTCCATCTGTTTGGGGAGTCTGGCATGTGGACCTCTGACCTCTGGCCCCTGTCTCCCTCCCCAGATTGACCAGGATGGGCTCAACCTGCCAGAGAGGACCCTGTACCTCGCTCAGGATAAGCAGAGTGAGAAGGTGCTGGGACATGGGATGGGGAGGCAGAGAAGGCCTGGGGCCCCAGGAGGGGTGGGCCCAGACTAGGCCTGTCCGTGTCCCTGGAGGAGCCCCTTCCCGTGGTGCAGATACTGGCAGCATATAGTGTGTTCATGGAGCGAGTGCTCAGCCTCCTGGGTGCTGACGCTGTAGAGCAGAAGGCCAAGGAGACCCTGTGGCTGTAGTGGGGACAGCTGATGACAGGGGACCATGGGGCAAGACTGGCTCAGCCCTGATCTCTACCCCCACCCAGATCACTGTGTCAGAGTATGATCATTTCCAGCCAGATATCAGCTCCATGTACAAAAAGGTGACGCTAGGGCAGCTGCAGAAGATCACCTCCCCATATGGCCCAGGCCCCTCCCCTGCCCCCGGACTTGCCTGCTGGGTGTGCCATGAATTTCCACCTCCTCTTCTGTCCAGTAGTCACATTAAAGGAGGCAGCGCTCAAAAAGGACCCAGAGCCCGAAGATCCGATCCTAGCTCTCCCCTCTGCTTTCCAAGGCCCTGGGCAGGGCTGGGAGCTTCCTGAGCTGCAGTTTCCTCACCTAGAGATGGTTGGAAAGAGAAAGTGTGGCTACAGCTCTGCTGTTCCTGCACCACCCTTGGGAGAGCCTCATGGTGTCTATCTACCATGGGGAGGAACAGAGGCCTTTGCAGGCCAGTTCTGAGTCAGACAGTCACCCTCAAGATCAAACGCTGTCTCCCCATGGCAAGTCAGGAAATGATTCAAGCCCTGACCCATCACATCAGGGGCTGGCAGCAGTAGCAAGAGTGTCTTGCTGTGTCATTGAGCTCAGCACACTCCAATTCCAGCCTCCACATACTTGGGATGACCTCCTGCCCCTTCTTTGAGGGACTATCTGGGTGCTGGGTCCAGTCGCGGGCTGGGGAGTACAGGCGGGGTGGTGCTCTTGGTGGCCCATATGAATGTCTTTCTGGACACCCCACTGGCTTCATCTGGCTCCCAGCATCCTGCACAACTACCTTGTGTGGGGCGTGGTGGTGGTCCTGAGTGAGCACCTGTTCGTGTCATTCCGTGAGGCATTGCACAAGCTGGCACGGGAGATAGAGGGCAGTAACAAGCCACAGGAACTGGCCCGGGTCAGCCTGAGCCAGGCCAACCACCACTTTGGCATGGCGCTTCATGCCCTCTTTGTACATGAACACTTCTCAGCCCGCCTCAGCCAAGGTGGGCTGCTCCGTTTTAGGGTGGGGAGGCTGGTGCTGAACTGAGGGTGGAGCCCTCCCGAAGCCATGGTCCTAGCGTGGGGAGCCCCACACATCCCACTGAAGGCAGGGGTACCAGGCCCCGCTTAGGCCTCAGCCCATTCTGAGGCTCCAGGCTGCTCCTCCGCAGGACTCCTCCTCCTGGTCTGTCAGTGGCAGGTGGCCTTCCCCGCCAGGCCCCTGCCCATCTTCTCAGCCGTGCTCAGGAGGCATCTCCTTAGGGATGCCCATGATGG